AGGTGTTTTTTGATAAACGTATCTAGATCACAGGCCCATTAGGCCTTGTTCTTTTTACTACATATCTAACTAATCTGGTGCCAACCACATTACAAGATCCATCAACTGCCAGTTAGTGATGTGGATGGCATCAGATTAGAAGTGTAGGAAAAAGAACAAGGTCTAATAGACCTGTGAGTATTTTTGCAAAATTTCTTGTTGTTGTTGTCAAGTGCCATTGAGTCGGTTCCAATTCACAGCGACCCTGTATAGGACTTCTGAGGAAAGGCTGGTGAGTTTGAACCATCAACCTCATGATTGAAACTGACCTTAAGGTCCAGTGCTTATCCTAGCACTAAAATTTGCATGACCCTGAGATATAGTAAAAAATATTCACATTTAGCATACACACCTTCAGCGATATGAAACTTAATATTTCAAAACTGCATCCAATTAAAAATAATATCACAGGGAGAGGAATTGGAAAATCTTTCAAGTGCATGTTCAAAAATGCTGCAAAAAATATATGTCATTATTGAAAGGCAATGAAATATTGCATTTATAGAACTTTTATGTGATGTGATCCCTTAATACTGGTGACCATGAGATACCTTTTCATTACTCACTTAAGATGGTAATGTAATTAAAACCCTTCTTTGCATTGCAATATACAGTATCAGTGTATGTGGTAATCCACTGGGTTCCTGGTTCCCCTGTTTTATGGTGTCTTTAAGCTCATTACATTTTTAAAGGAAATATTCCTAGCAATCATGGGCTCATGGGTTACTATAATGGAACATTAAATCACTTTTTGTACAAACGATATATTAGGGATTCGTTTCCTTGGCAACCCTGCAATGTTGTTGTTAGGTGCCCTTGAGTAGATGCTGACTTATAGCCACCCTAGGTACAATAGAACACAACACTGTCCAGTTCTGCACCAGCCTCACAATTGTTGTGTTGATGGAGCCTATTGTTGCAGGCATGGTGTCCAATCGCTATCCTTTGGGATTTCCTCTTTTTCACTGATTTTCTACTTTAGCAAGCGTGCTGTCCTTTTCCAGGATTATTTCCCTCTGATAACATGCCCAGAGATGAAGTCTCATTGTGCTCATGTCTAAGGAACATTCCGACTGTACTTTCTCCAAACAGATCTGCTTGTTTTTGGTAGTCCATAATAGTGTCAATATTCTTTCTTTGTCAACATCATATAATTCAAATGTATTAGTTCTTTAGTTTTTCCTTATTAGTTGTTTAGCTTTCCCATCTAAATGAAGTGATTGAAAAGAGCATGGCGTGAGTCAGGCTCACCTTCCTCCTCAAAGTGGCACTTTTGCTTTTGAACACTTAAAAGAGCTCTTTTGCAGTAGATTTGCTCAATGCCATATGCCGTTTCAATGCCTGATGACTGCTTCCATGGTCATTGATTGTGGATCTGAGTCAAATGAAATCCTTGACAACTTCAATCTTCTCTCTGTTTATCATAATGTTATTTGCCAATTCAGTTGTGAAGAATTGTGTGTTTTTTTCAACTTTTTATTGTGAGTTGAATGAAGGTTTACAGATAAGATTATCAGTTTTACATTCAACAAACTGCACACTGTTTCATTTCAATGATTGCAATTCCCTCCAAGCAACAAGTTATCCTACTTCCTTCATTTTTTCCCAATCCCATTTTCAACTTTGACCTTAGGTAAATGTTGCCCTTTTGATTTTGAATGATTTACCATTCCATGGTGAGCATACCTTACTAGTGTTCTTGATATATATACACACACTTGGCTAAAAACTGGACTAAGAGGGTGAGTTCCTTTCCAGACCTGAATGGTGGTTGAGGGCCATAGGCATGGATTCCTCCATTTTCTTTCTGACCAGTAAGCCCAGTCTTTTTTTTTTTTTTCTCATAATTTTGAGTTTGCTCCACATTTTCTCCCACTCTTCTGGGACCTTTGAAAGCCATCCCTTTCAGAGCAGTTGGTAGTTGTAGGCAGGCACCATCTAGTTCTTCTGGT